AAAATATTACGTAAAGCCTACACTATTAAGAATACTATTTTAACTGTTACGGTATCATTTGAATTGAAGGTGTTACGGCATATATTACACTAGGTTCACTGCAATAATATTCTCAATGATTGCATTCTTGTATTATCATCATTTTATGCAAACGATTCTAGTCTGTGTTGTTCATTACATATATGTTAATACAACCAGAAATTAGTTTATAGTTCACCTAATTTTGTCGCTATTGCCTGATTTATTCATTCTCGCAAACTTTCATATAAAATTCTTACATATATTACAAAAAACAATCGATTTCAAAATATCTCTCAATTCTCCTAGATTTGTGAATACGGAAATTTTATAATATTAAATAAGTAATGTTTATTATCACCGAAAACAGCATGATTAAAACTTTTTTTAATCTGATACATTTGGTCACACATTTAAGCTTTATCCTTTTTAGATTCCTTATTTAAAGATTTCTCAAATATTTACATAGAAAATTTTCTTCGATATTTCCACTATAATTTTAAAAATTTTGAATACATTTTCATATTATAACGTAAAATTTATTTTTTATATGGGTTTTTGGGAAAAACAAAAACGTTTTGTTTTATAAGTGTCCTTAAAAATGAAAAAAATACTTAGATTCATATAACTAAATTATATTATCCTGAAGTGACGAATGTTAAAAGAGACAGAGGAGTGAAAGAGAAAAAAAAAAGAAAATAACATTATTATTCAAGTAGAAATTCAAAATGTTAGATCATGCGAAATTCATTTTTCTTATTCAAGAAAAATCAAATGAAAAAAAAAGGATATTATATAAAAATGTATGAATGTTTTGATTCCTAGGAGACAAAAAAAAAAAATTTTTTTTTCCTAAAAAAAAAAACCATTTTACAACAATTTGTACAATAATGGTATCAAAGTAAAAAGGTTTAACTTTCAAAATAAAAAAACATGAAAATAAAAAAAAAAAAACCAAAATTTTTGGCTTTATTGGAAAAGATGAAAATTGAGTTCTGAAAATTATCATAACTTGAAATTCATGGAATTTGAATTTATTTCTTAAATGTTACCCTATATATTATGTGTTATATTGTTTACATGTATGTATATAATAAGAACTCGTTTATTTGAGTGCGGTATTAGAGAGAGGAATATATGAACAATTGTATAACACATAATACAAAAAAAGAAAGAAATATTCAAAATATAATTCTTCTTTAATATTTCACGGGAAAATGATAATTTATAAAATACCAACATTTTGTTTTTTTTTTTTTTAAATAAAATAAAGGATCAGTAAGGATTTTTTTGTATATTTTTTTCATATTTTTATTGTAAGCACATTTAAGGAAGAAAATATTTTCTTAGGAAATAATTTAAACAATTTTATTTTATTGTAATATTTGTGTTGAAAATTTTAAAAATGATATTTGTTCATGTTCGAATACTAAATTCATAATAAATGGCACGAATCAGCGATTCTGAGTGTACTGAAACAAAAATTAATACTAAGCTGTGTATACTTTATGTTATTTATTGCCCCCCATATTTTCCTGGAAATATTTTGCACTACTTTTTAATGGCAATACTGTGGGGAACATAAGTCCATAATAATTATCAAAAACAAATTTCGTAATATGAATTCATTTTTAAATTTAGACAATTATTAATATTCAATCATCCGTTTTGTCTAAAAATTTTAATAAGGTTCGAAAAATTAGCAACAATAGGCTATGCTTATATAAAAATTTGTATTAGAAATGTGTGTATTCCGAATAAGAATTTGATATAGTTTCGGTTAGATATGAAGATGAATTTGAATATGATTTCGTGTATTGCTGGGTCTAATTTGGCATATTTAGAATTTTGTTGTATCTTTCTCAATTAGATTCGAATCTTTTAGTAAAAGCAGCTAATATTTTTTCAATTAAAATTTTCTTGAATGAGAAAATGACTAATGCAAAGTTTATGACAATAAAATATTGCTTAAAATTATTGGCTCTTCAAACTTAAATTTTATATGAATAACTTTAATAAAATAATTGCCATCAAAAGTATTTAACGACTGTTTCAATTGGTTCTCTACTATTAAATGTAATTAAAATAAGATGACATTAGGTCGGATCCGACAGTCTTATTTTAAATTCCCGTAAATTAATTCATTTTGTTCAAAAAAAAAAAAAAAATTATTTTAAATTAATTCAGCTTTTTATTCTAGTTTCTGAATAAATTTATTGAATATTTTATAAAATCATAATTCCATCATTGTTAAAATTTTAAACAATTCATTGTATTATTCAACATCTTTTTCACTTATACGATGTGATATAATTCATTATAACAAAAATTTTTTAAGGGTATTATGAAGAGGAGAATAATTTTATGGTATCATTAAAATAATTCATATATTATGACAAAACTAAAGGAAAATATTTTATTTATTTCTTATTATAGCTAGCTAAACTTTAATTTACACAACAAACACAAAATATTGCATATACTGCGGGGCGCAAAAAAAAATTTTTTTTAAATAATTAAATGAATATTTTTTTTTCTGTATTAATGAATTAAACTGAAAAATTAGAATGCCTTCTTCAGTAGAAATTTTATATAAATGCATAGTACAGTAGTAAAGGAAAACAATATACAAAAGAAAAATGAAAGTGTGCTACATAAGGATAACAAAATTCTGCTTCATTATTCATTTTCACATGTCAATTTCCATTTTTCAAAAATTCTGATATCATTTTCCTTTCGAAATTTATTATATTTGAAGGTCAATTGTTTTCTTTTACATTAAGCACATTTTCATTGTTTATTTTTTAATTTTTGTTTTTCATTTGCGAACTCTCATATAAGGCAAGTAAGAATAAGTTGATGATTTTTCATTTAAAAAATAATACTGATTATAATATTTGAAAAAGGGAATCCTTGATACAAAAATACATATCACATGATATTGATTATATTTAAAAAGAATAGAAAACAAGACAAAAACAAAAATAAAATTAAAAATAAAATAAAGATTAGAAATTTATAAAGAAATACAAAAAAAAAAAAATATCCTTGCCTTTTCTATCTCATTTCCAATGATATTCGTTTGTATTTCTCGCATATTAATTCAAACGAACAACAAAATATAAAAGTTTATACATAAATGAAGGATATTACATTTTACTTAATGATGCATATAGAAGATATCTGAGGGCAAAATGAAAAAAAAAAATAAAATTTCATCATATTTAATTTTCATATATTTTCTGCTTTACTGAACTTTTTTTCACAAAAAAATCTTTGAATATTTTATTTTTTTTGTTTTTTAGTTTTTGTTGTTCTAAGAAAATTATTCTTCCTTTTTAAAAGATAATATTCTAAGATTTAATAAATACATTTTTGTGATACTAGCAAGTAGAATTATGAGAATAAATGCATATTCTCATAAAAGACTTGTGATCTCAGAAAAGAATATAAACGCAAAAAATGCAATTATGATTTTAATGAAAAACATGAAATTTTAAAAAAGTATTTTAAAAATCAAAATTAGTATTTATATGAATTAACTGGGCTGGATAATAAAGGACACTTTGTAAATTTTTCGTTCAGAATACGTTGACTTTAAGGAAAACTCTTCTATATAAGGTGCTTGAAAAGTTCGTTTTCATTATTGTATTCTTATAATTGGAAATTAGAAATCTCTTTTCAACTTAAGAAAAAATTTAAAATTATTTACAAATAATGGAAAAGACCTAACAAATTCATATTATTACAGATTTTTGTGTCTATTTTGGGCATATGCATATGTTTAATCGCAGTTTGGATTTTAGTGCTCATTTAAATATGATAATAGGGCTAATTGGAAATTGGGCTAGAAAGTTGGTTGATTCAAAAAATTTGTATGTGTCCTTTGTTAGGACACTTTTGGGGTAAGTAGGTTTAGAAATATTTCGTATTGAATTTGTTCAAAAAAAATTTCTGCTTTTTGAATTCAGAGGTTTGCGTTAGTCTGATCCATTTAGATTGCCGTGTTATGAAACTAGGTTGATGTTGATCGATTTGGAATCCTTGAGCAGGCGTAGGTTTGTTGCTGACATAATGTCTATTCATCAGCTTGGGTCGTGAGCCATTGTGGCTCCTTCATTATTGGAACGGATCTTTATTAAGGAAAATGTGAGAAATTTTAGAGAATTGTCTATAATATTCGGTATCATTCATGGTAGAAAAGAGTCGTTCACTAGAATGTTGCGTTGTGTTCATTCTAATTCATTGGTATTTGATCCTACTATTAGTAAGGGTACTTTTAGATCTTTTCCAAATTCAAATTTATAGTAATATTTTTTTTGTTTTACTTGTTCGTCTTTATTACCATCTATTATTTTTTTCTTAACGCATATCTCATTCCTATAAATGATGACACTGTTTGCTTAGCAACTGATAGTTGCTTAGTTGCGATTCAATGATGTTTTCATTTGCGCCATTTGGCGATGTGCATAATCTTTTCTTCTCATAACAATCTTATCTAAGCAATGGATGTCCGATATACTATATTCGAATAAATTAGTTTCTACGTTATACATCTCTACTGCATAGATTACATTAAGAAATTCATTGATTTTTGATTCGAAAATTTGAATTTGTGAGCTATTTTTCACCATTATGGGGCAAATAATGCCAAGACATTATATACATATACGAAATTTTGCAATTAATTGCTAGAAAAATTTCCGAGGAAAATACTTTGGTAAATTTTGGTACAACTTTCATGTAAAAATTCTATTACACATATTCAGTTGGGAATTAGTTGATAAATTTGCTATAGATTCCAATAGAGAAGTGAAAATTAAACAAATATAAAACAGAAGTTTTTAAATTAAAAATTTTACACTATTTAATTTAAAATTCAAAAGAAAATGTTGAAATTCTAAATAAACTTTTGTATTAATTTTTTATTAAAAACAAATCAAATGAATTGAAAACAACAATATTAAAAAATTTATACTTACTATTGCTTACATAAGATGATATTGAACGTACTCCAACAATATAATATTGTAAATAAATTGAATAAAAATTAAATATTAATAAAAATTGTTTAAATTCCATTAAATTTTTCATCTTTGGTTTTTATTCCAAATAAATTTTTTGTTAAACTTCGGTCCGATATGCATTTAAAAATTTTTTATGTATTTTTTGCATGTGTATGCGGGATTTTTGTTTTTACTTTATAAATTTTAATTTGCAAATTTAAAAAAAATTATTTAAAATTTATTTAATTAACTATAATAATTTTTTTTGTGTTATTTTTAATTTCTAATTGTGGTTGTTGCACTTATTAAGTTCCCTATAGTTTGAAATTTTGTCTTATTTGTGTTCGAATTAAAAAAATTCCAAGACAAATTGTGAATTTTTTTTTAAATGTTTTGTACTTTTATTTAATTTATCTTTATTTTTTTTTTAATTCAATTTAAATGAATTTGTAAATTTTTTACTTAATAAAATTAATAATGAATTGTTTATTATTTTTTAATATTAAATTGACGCCTTTCCAATTTCTTTTTTACTTGTTACCTATTGTGAATTGATATTAATTTCCCCGTTGCTGTGCCTGTGTAATTTTGATCTGAAAAATAGAATAAATGAGAATGAAATATTAAATGGTTGTCGTGTATATAAGTTTAACTACAATTACTAAATTAAATGAATTTAATAAACTTGTTAAGAAAACCAAACTTTCAATTTAAAGATAGAAAAAAAGCATTGCATACAATAAGAAATGTTACAGTCGCCATGTTTGATGCTCATAAATTTCATATGTCGGAAATGCGTTTTGCGGGAATGAAAGTGTAATTTTAGTGGTATATTTGTCTGTCCGTCTGTATGTTAGTCTGCTTATGTTCACTTTTGTATCTCAAATTCGACTGTGCTATAACATTTATGAAAATTTATATCGGAATTTACTTCGAGAATGGAACGATTTCAATCATTAATATTATTACGGCATGATTTTACGTTTTTCGTCATTGTTTTAAAATAGCAATAGACTTCTTTTGAAATTTCATTATTAAGCTCTATCGCCTAAATTTTTACAAATACTTGGTGTTGGGAAGTGGACGTTTACTATACGGTTTAAATTTACATGAGCAACTGTATATTAGCCACTATACAGGGAAATAATGAACTAAATAATTTGTTTGAAATTAATATTTAAAATTTGATTACTAAAATAATGAACTAGTAAGTTTGTTCAATTACGATAATTTTTATTAAATAATACCCTAGTTTTAAGCTAGTAATTAGTTTTTAATGCGTATTTGATCTGTTTCTAAGCACACGCATATTTGGGCTTGTTGCAAGGCCATGGACCTTTTTAAGCAGTAGTTCAGTTTTTATCGTTTGAGTAGTGCTGCCTTTTTACACCACCTTAATTTAAGTAACCATCACCTTAATTTAAGTAATCATTAAGCCAAAGGAAAACATACACGTAAAAAATAAACTAATTTTAGTTAATGTTTTTTTTTTGTTTTCTTCTTGTTGAAGAAAAAACCAAGCATTTTCTTTTTCAAAAAAAAAAGGTAGAAAAATAACAGTAATATGAATATAAAATATAAAAATAACGTTATATAAAATTATTTTGAAGTGGATTGTATAAAAAAAATTACAAAATAAAATGTAAAGAATTTTAATCCCATGGCACCGATGCACTTAAGAAATTTTAGTTTTACCAATCTCATCTAACCATAAGTGGAGTTTTTAGTTAAAACTTATACAATCATGTTTATTTTGGAATATTATGCACATATTTTTAATAATGAATCTTAAAAGGCATGGTGAAACAAGGATAAAAAGTATAATTTTCAACTGTAAAAATTAAGAGTAATTCGGAAAATGTTTGAGCTAGTTTGTTGGAAAAATTCAACACAAGATATAAAAACTAAGATTGGGAGCAGATAATAGAAAAATGGTTTGCATCTTTGAAACTGTTATACGATTAAGTTACTCGCGTAAAATAACAAGTAATGTAATTAGTGCTTGTACCCCATTTCGATTATGTGAATCTCTGCTTACAACTATGTAAGTACATTATTGGCGACATTACAATTAATTTTCTCTTTTTTCTTATACAAAATTCCAAATCTAATTTCTAATATCTACCCAAGGATAATATGATTAATAATATTTCTTATATAATTGTTATTAAGAAGATGAGAAAACAGGGAGATGAATATGGAACTAAATTTTTGATGAATATATAGAAGAAAAGAAAAAAACTGTACCACAATAACAACATCTACAATACCAACCAATAAAATTTCAAGGATAAAACAGAACAGAACCGAAAAAAAAAACAAATGCCAGCAGGTGTAACGATCTAATTTTACTTTTTTTTTTTCTTTTTCTCATTTTTAACTCATATTTTTCTATATACTCACTAGATTTTTAGCACTTTTCTAAAAATTTTTTGAAAAAAAGTGCTTATTAATTTCACTCTGTTCGTCCGTCGGTCCGTCCGTCCGTGGAAATGTTTACAGAGCTTTATGACATTAAAAAACATAATTATTTTTCTTAACTCACGCAATTAACCCTTAAAATCGAGCTTTATTTCAAAGACTGCATACATCGTTCATCCTAAATATATGCAATCCTAGAAATAGTTTCGTAAATGAATGAAAATAATTTTAATAGTGTGATAGGTATACATAGAATGTATTTAAAAGTAGAATTTTTACTGATTGTTGAAGGGAAAAATGCTACAATACAAACCATTGGTTTGACCCAACTTTATTGCAATTGTTTGTGTTGCTGTATAACAGAGTCTTAGAGTATCATCGTAACAGATTATTGCATACAGGTTTTTCTTTTTTGTTCTTATTTTGTTTGCCTTGTTTCTTGTTTTTTTATTCAATGCTTTCAAGGGGTTTTATTTTTACAGGTTTCCTCGGTGTTTGTTGATGTATGTTTTCTTTTAGTTCTTAATGTTTTCGGTTACGTTTTTTTTCGGTTATGCGGAAGTAAAAATCCTGAAAAAAAAATGTAGAAGAAAAAAAAATAAAGTTGTAATTTTTTTTTCTACTTCTCTCTCTCTCTACTGTTTATTTTTTATAATGAAAATTTGAATTTAAGTGAGGAAAATCTTTTTGTCCTTATTATTAACCGTTATCCTAATACAAAGAAAGTAGCTTTGATTAAAAAGTGTACATTTTTTTTTGTAATTTTCTTTTTTCGGATTCTTCTTTCTTTCTTTGTTTTAATGCTATGAATTGTAATTCTTAAAAATAAGCAAAAATTTTTTGAAAAAAATTGTTGGGTACAAATTCAACAGATGGTGGCTTTCTTGTTTTTTTTTTGTGAAGTATTGAAGTTATAGAATTATCCTAGAATTTTTAATTTTGTTTTGCGTCAAAAATACCAATAGTCAATTTTGATGGAATTATATTATGATGAATGAGCTTGGATTACTTGAAGGGAAAAATATATAAAAAATGTAGTATGTGTAGAATCCTTTAGGGAATTATAACACTTTATAGGCTTAAAGAGTTTTAAATTTTGAGTTATCGGCTACCTCTACATTAGTATAGGTAGTGATTTATAAGTTTTTGTTAAAATGTTAGCCAGAAAATAATAAATAATTGTAGTGATTCAAGAACGCGGCTTAATCATTTGGACTGAAAGTAAAAATATTTTTCGTGTGTTCTGAAATAAGATGGTTTTGATACTGTTCAGTAAGGAAATGCATTCTACATATAAGGAACATATAATACATGTGCTTTGCATATGATCTGGGGAGAAGCCAGAACGAAGTCGTAAAATTTCATATTGCTAAAACAGCTTTATAAAATTTCAGAAATTTTTTTCCCGGGGACTTGGAATAATCATCATTGTGAATGATTTTCATGATGTACTAATGATGTCAATTTGATGTTGAATTCCGACTGAATTCAGGAAATCAAGAAATGACACTTATGCTTTCTTTCGTGTATATATTGGCAACTGCTGGATTTTTTTTATTTTATTGAATTAAGATCAGCATAATCTTATTTGTTTGTGTTTTCCATTTTTTATTTGAATCTTCACTCAACTCTTGTTTTCTTTCTTTGTTTTTCAATCTTAAATAAAGCAAAAAAAAAAAAATTGTTACAATTTAAAATATGGCTGACGTGATATTTTGCGGCTTAACATATTAAGTTTTTTTTTTTTATGTTACTTTTCTTAGAAAATCTTATTTTTGCGGTATTTTAGAAATCTAATGTAATATAATAGCCATAAAGAAAGTATTGTTTTCCACAATTTCTTCTTTCTTCTTTCAAAATGAAATTACTATAGTGAATTTATATGATGATGAAAAAAAAAGAGGACATATTGTTATTACCAACGCAACCGTCACAATGGAGAATAATACAAGTAGTTACTACAAGTAATACTTTATAGTGATATAGGCTATTTTTGGGAAAAGAACCTGATGTTGTAACAGTAAAATATATGTGTAGAAAATTGTTATAATTCTGTTAATATTCGTATATAGTATAAGAGTATAAAAGTACTGCACCAAAAATATAATATGAAAGTATGATAAAAATGGTAATTTTTAATACAAAAAAAAGAGACTTACTAAATTGACTAATCATACTTAGATTGTCAGGAATTTTAAAGGGAAAAAAATATAGCCTGAAAGTAATTTCTATGGTAATTTTTCATCAACTTCTTCTTCTTCATCACTATACTTATGGTTACCTACTACAAAAAAAATTCTAATAGTACAGATGAGATGAAGATTAAGGTTTATATAAATTTTTTTTTTTAATAAAATAATAAGATGGAAAGGAATGTACAATTACCGCAAAAGTGAACCAAAAGCAGGAAACAAAGGGGGCTATCACCCTCATTTAAAGATTTTGCGTGTTTTCTTTTCTTATTTCCATAAAAGAATGAAAAAATATTTAAATATTTCTTATGTTTTCGTTTTTTTTATATTTTTGTAAAGGGAAGGACTGAGAGTGATGATTGAAAGCCTAAGAAGAGAACAAAAAAAAAATTATTAAAATTATTTCTTTTCCTTAAAAATTAGAAAAAAAATTACTGATTGCGCAGGAGGAGGAGGAGGAGGAGGAGGAGGAAGGGAAGAAAAAATATTAGTAAAATTTGTATGTGCGGTTTCCTTTCCTGTTTCCCTTCTTCTTTATTGTTCATTTTACAATTCACTGAATTTTTTAGTATAGTTATTCATTTAGTAATTGGGGTACAAATATAATATAAAATGAATCATTAAATATGCATATTGGTGGTGGTTAATGGGGGCACTCGAATTATAAATAATTTGTAGAATGTAGAATTATGATGGTGTGACAAGGAGAAATAAAATGAGGAAGAACAAAAAAAATAATTCAATCAACTTAATCGAGTGGTGTTAAAGTTTTAATTAGCATTTATTAAATTTTCTACTTAATCATATTCATCTCATTTAGAATTATATTGCCCTTTTTCGCCTCGATCCCCCTCTGTTGAAAATAATTAAATGCAGACCTATTTCTAAAATTTGTAAAATGTTATCGTTTAATATAAAATTGTTAAAAAAAAAAATTAATTAAAATTTTATTAAAACTTTTTTCTTATTTTGATTTAATTTTTTTTTTTAGATTTACCCTTTCTATCCACGTCTCTGATGACTTCTTTGAATATAACTGCTGATCACGGTAAAAAAAGAAGTCGAAAAAAAGCAGTTTCGCCCCAATATATTTGTGAATATTTGAATTATGGAGTCTAGTCTGAATAACTCTTCGGACAATTGAATTGCCGAGTCTAGCCTCTATATCTCTCCGAATAATTGATTTCTGTTATACGAGTTTTGATATATGAATATTTGATTTCAATGCATCACTAAATATTTAGCCTGTGAAATCAATTATTTTCAGATTTATTGAAGATTAGATTAGATTTAGAAAGTCCTGATGAATATTTGCCTTGTGAGGAAATAAAGATCTGGGAGTGGGTAGCGATTTGTCTACATAAAGTGTGCAAAAAATATTATGTTAATTGTGATAATATTATTTGTCTCATAATTTTATTATATTTTGAATTATTTAGAATTTGCTTTTTAATGTAATTTAAAATTTAAGTCGTGAGAGTTTGATCTATATTTCCCTCCCCACCCTCTTCCTTAATGACAAGAAAATCTAAAAATGACATACTGTCTTCATGCTCAAGTCTTCTTTAAATTTGCAGTACACTGTACATCAATAAGATTTCTTATTAGATTCATGTAAATTAGCATGGTTTACACAGTTCTTTGACACTTTCAACACAATATCACATTTTTCTGCAAATACGTAAGTGAAGTGACAAATATATAACAATTTAGTTACATTAGAATGCTGCCTTTATGAATTTATCAATGCTTCGTTCCTTGTATCTTGTTTCAAATTTAAATAAATTAATCAACACTCAAAATAAGAAGGCAAGTCACTTTGATTTTGATATAGTCACTGTTTTAATCTAAATAACCTTTATATTTCAACAATAACACTTAATAATTACACTGAATGTCCGATAAATTTAATAAATATTTTTTATAATAATTTATTTAGCATTCTAGATTCACTCCTTCCTTTTCATTTTTAAAATCTGTTCATTTATTATAAGTTCATTTCGTTTTTAAAATTTTTTCATCTAGAAAATTTGTGTTCTCAATTTCCCACATTCTCACTTTTTTTTTTACCAATAAATATGCTATTTTTCATATATGTACATTACATTAGCTATATAATGGTGTTGGACCTTTTTTTCTAGATGAATGCTCCCATAAAATACGTACCCATTCATACGTATAAATTGAATAATAATAAATATATCTGAAAACACATATTAAGTATTTACGAAATGGTATGTGAAAATTATTTGCCCTTACATACAATTTTATATGATTGGTATATATGGTTATGTCACGTCATTTATGTTTATTGATATTAGATGTTTGGTATATATGTACTTTAACTTACTAAAGACCATAGCTGGTTACTCTTGTCTGTTTTAGATTTATAAAGGGAACAATAAAGATTAGAGGTTTAGATTTAAATCGTTTAGAATTGTTATCCCCTTTGTAAAATTGAAATTTAAAAAAATATTTTATTTTATATAATTTGCGGAAATGGATTAAATCAAATATCAAAAGTGATTTTTTACAAAAAGAGCTTGAGTGAGGGGTTGACACAATTATTTGAAATATTTGCTCTTATTGTTATCAAAATATGCTGAAATTGGTTTTTGAATTCAAATTGTAAATTTTAAGAAATTTTTTGTTGAATTGAGTATTCAATAGTTTACTTTAACAAAATATAGTGAAGAAGCCAGATATTTCAATATATTAGATGATACAAAGAACAGATATGAAGCACTGTTGTGAAGTAAGCTCGTAAAGTCAAATATTTTACTTAGAAATTAAGTAGAAAATACCCTGAATTATGATAATTATAATATTATTGTTTTATGCGCCGTATGATATGCAATTTTTTTGTGTTATATATGAAAAGTGAAATTAAACGAGCTTATAAAATATTTTTACGTACTTATGTTGAAAATAGCTGAAAACAATTTTAAATCACAAATATTTATATACGTTAGATAGAAAAATCGTAATTGGCTGCTATTTTAAAAAGGTACATTCTAAAAAAATTCCGCTCACATTTAATAGTTTTGCCAACAGAATGATGTTGTAAATAGAAAGAATTACACTTTGTCAGAAAGAATGAAGTAAAAATTGTTACTATCGATTTTTTTTTTGTAATTTTTTTTTTGTCAAATTTTAGTTTTGTGATATTAAGCGAGTGAAATTAAATGAAATTAGACATTTTGATGTTTAGAATAATTCGTGATTTTAAAAGTGTTTCTATTGAGTGAATTTTCAATTAAACGAGTTCGAGCAAGTGTAAAAGTATATGGAAATTTGTCTTTTCAAAAATTTTGTAAATATAATCGAGTAGTATAATATTAAACAGGGTTGATGTTAAGCGTGTTAGACTGTTTTTAATTAATCGCCAGCAATTTTGTGTTTCAGTGAGTGTACTGTGATTACATCAAAAAAAGTATTTCTAATATTACATATATATTTCTAATAAAATATATAATTTTTAGGAGATTAACAATATTTTTATAATTTAGTAAAATTTAATGAAATTTCTTATACGAGTATACAATGAAAAAACGAGTGTTCTTAATTAAAATTACGAATTTACAATAGGAAAAACGTACATGGTATTTTAAGGTATCAAAAATATTGGAGATGAATCTTAATAATATTGTAAATGTTAAAATTAAAAATGATTTATCTGAATTCCAATTTTTTTTAAAATAGTTTAGTTACATAAATTAATTAATGGGAAAGTTCACATGTAGATTATCAAAATTTCTTTTAAAATATTGAAAAAATATCTACTCTACGAGCATAATGAGTCCCCGACGTAGGATATCTCTTTTTATTTTAACAATTTCTAATGTTGTTTATTACACATTCGAGTATACATTTTTCTATATTAATAAATTAATATCTATTTTTAAAAGCTAATGAATGCTTTTGAAATTGAATCTTGAAATACATTTTTAATAATATAGTTGATCAGAGTGCAATCGGTTCGTGCTAGAATATTTTTTTCACGCATCCTCTCTCGTAATATCCAGGAAATGTTAAAATGTTAAGAAAAACCACTATATACTTTTGATACTGTTATAAACTTTATAGTATTAACATATTGTTATACTTTTCAAAAATCTTGTGTACCAAAATAAAATAGAAGTATTTACTCTAAGGAGTCACATGTATTATTGCACACATATATAATGTAGTATATGTAGCAGCCATAAATGTATAAAAAGTAAAATACCAATTTGTCGTAAAGTAGGACATCTGAAATTATATGGGGGGTTTGTTTTTTTTTTTTTTAATGCAAAATTCATTACTGTAGCGGAAAAATAAAGTGGCATAAGATAAATGAAATTTTCAGTTTTTATTCTTATTATTGTTATCCTTGTACCTCTTATTTTGGGTTACCCCCAAAAACAAAAATATCCAATAAAAAAAAAAATTATGTTGACAATCTTGTTTTCATGGTCGTATCCATTAATATTGAATTTAAAAAGGGAATGTTAAAAGCAATTTTTATTTTTCCCTGTTTTTTTTTTTTGTTTTTATTATTATTTTTCCATATTATTTCTTTATTTGAGAAGGGAGCAAAAAAAAAAAAACAAAATTGCTTAAAAAAATATTTGGAGCAAATTGTTTTCACATATGTATGTATGTATATATTGTTGTATGTGAAAATATATATGGGTAATAAACTTAACAATAATAACAATGTAACCAATTCTCGGCCATGTTTTAACAATTTCGCTGTTATGTTTCTTTTGATTAAATATTTGAAATTTTCC